CTTTTTCTCCCCATTAAATCATCCACTTCATCAAGGGAGAGAAGGAAAAAAGAACACCAGCAGTCCAGGGCGTTGCTTTAGGGCCCTCGTAAAATCTATTGAGCTGAGAAAGAGGAGAGATAAGAAGAATGGGGTTCAGGGCATAAATGGGTGTTTTATGCCTGAACGATAAAAACATACGCAACCAATGGGGCAACAGGGAACGAGTTTAACTACAAGCAAGGAAACAATTCTTTTCTTTAAGAATATCACTGAAGAGAAATTGAAATACAGGAAACAGTGGTAAAAATGAGGAAAAGAAATAAAATCTGAAAATAAAAGCGGCCCTAGAAGTCACGCCTCGCATTATGGCCTCATATCCCTTCTCGGCGTGACAGGGCGGTTGATCTACAAGTGGCGACACCACAAACGACTCTAGTAGGGTGTCCCGATACTGATTTGTGGCAACACTTGGTGTCGCTGGGTGCTCGTGGTGATTTGTAGTTGGTAACACTAATGGCCCCGCTGTCTGACACCTCTCGAGAGTCTGTGTCATTAATACAGAAACTCAAACAGAGATAGATAGATAGAGAGAGAGAGTTGCAGGGAGGAAGGGAGAGAGGTATAGAGGATGAGAACTGTGAGAGACAAAAATAAAGAGCAGAAACTGCGAGACAGAAGGAGAGAGAAAGGAAGAAAGAGAGTGAGAGGGAAGAGGGGGAAAGGAAGAAAGAGAGAGTGAGAGGAAGAGAATGAGTTTAAAAAAAAAAAAAAAGAGAGAGAGAGATGAAGGTCACCAGGTTCATAGCGATCAAAAGGAGGATATTTCCCTTCGAAAATAAAGAAAAAAATCTCACAAAACAGCGCCGACCAGAACTCCCATGACGGTATAAAGAATATTTACTCCTCCTCGTAAGGCTGGAGATAAAGCCGTTTAAACAGCCCCCCGAGGATTAACAACGACGTCGAAGGCCTTCAAACAGCAGTCTCTTCGATGCTCGGATGAAATACAATCAACGATTTCCGGTATCGTTTTAAACAGATCCTTGCAGTACATTAGTTTGATAACATATATTTCTGGCACAGGGAAGGACGGGGAGGTAAGAGAGGGGAGAGGGGGAAAGGGGGATAGGGGAGGGGAACGTTTAGATAAGACGAATAACTACAAGTCGAACAAATATTACGCGAAGGGTGTTTGTAGTGTTGGGCAGATCCAAGGGCTTTGTCTCACACCGTCGAATGATATCTTCCGTTCCAGCTGATCCATGGAAATTAAAGGATGACCATTGGACTGCACGGACAGGGCTGAAGTTTGGCTAAATTTGGAGATAGGTTGGATCGGCCACGTCACATGCAAAAGATATATAGCATGCAACAAAGTGTTTGTCTGTGTTTGTGACTGTATCCGTGTCCATATGTATGTGTGTATGTGTGTGTGTGTGTGTGTGTGTGTGTGTGTGTGTGTGTGTGTGTGTGTGTGTGTGTGTATGTATATATATATATATATATATATATATATATATATATATATATACATATATATATATATATACATATATATATATATATATATATATATATATATATATATATATATATATATGTAAAAATATGTATGTATATATAAATGAATGTATTTATATTTGCACACACAAATGCAAACATACTCATAAACATTTATATATACACTCATATTTGTGTATGTATATATATATGTATATATATATATATATATATATATATATGCATGTATGTATGCGCACACACACACACACACGCACACACACACACACACACACACACACACACACACATATAAATACATACATATAGAATGAGAGATACATGCACACACACGCACACACACAAATATGTGTATATGTATATATGTATATATATGCATGTATGAATGCATATATGTAAACACAGTCATCCATTACGCAAATATACGAAACGATCGATAGAAATGTTCCTGTCCATATACAAATAAAACAAATAATCAAACAAATAAACATAATCATTGATAATGCAGAGAAAAAACAAACAGGCAGGGTAGCCGTATGGGACCTAACAAGGCACAAATTGAAACTTTGCGTGACTTACTATAGCCAAGATACACGCCATGTACCAATGTGAAAACCCTACGGACTTTCCAACTCCCGTTTCATTACTAGCCTGTCTTACGTGACCAGGTTATGACTCGTCTACTTTAGCACAACTTTTTACGAAACTGTAAAAAATAACAGAATTGTGTAATGGCAAAATTGTAATATACATATCATACTGAAGACGAAGTATTTATATCATACAGCCTAGCTTATGAAAAAAAATAAAAGCAATAGTATTTATTTAACAAAGGTTGCTAAATAAAAGACAGTTACACAAGAGAATATATTCATAAAACTAGTTTGAAATATAAAACATACAGTTTCCATATGTCCTGCAGCATGAACTTTACACAATTGTCGTGGGCGCCCATAGTAACGCAACCGTTAAATGACTCACAGCTCGCAGCTATAATTTAACCTCGCCTAAACCACCTATCAATTACTTAGAGGAGGAAATTCGACCACATCATGAAAGATGCGTGATAAGTCCCTCACACGTGATCACTGGCACCCGCTTCTCTTCATTATAATTCGGGAGTTCCTCGCAGTTGCTCCCGCGGCAGAGGCTATCAATTTCCATTTGATCCTGAGCCTATCTGCTGTCGAGGGGATAATTCTGGCTTGGGTTAGGTGGGGAGGGGAGGGGGAGGGAGTGGAGGAGGGGGAGAAGAACAAGAAATCGGCTGTAGTAGAATGCAGTACAATACCGATGCGTTTTGACTTAGGATTAAATTTACCTACACACATGCAAAAGTGTATATAAAGTGTCTAAACATATATGTGTTTGTTTGAGTGTGTGTGTGTGTTTTTATGTATGTATGTATAAATATGTATGTGTATATGTAAATATGTAATATATATATATATATATATGTGTGTGTGTGTGTGTGCGCGCGCGCGCGCGCGCGCGCGCGTGTGTGTGTGTGTGTGTGTGTG